TTCAAGAGGTGCCTCAAAACACTATCCGTTAAAATTTTCACAGCTTACTCGTAAAAATATAAAATTTTGATATTTTTTTAAATTGGAAAACGAGCAAAACTATTAGGACTGGCCTTTAATTTAAAGTTGTCACTGTAATTATATTTTCAATCTGGTTTGTAAGACATTTATGTAATTTACTTGAATTTTTGCACTTTTAATTAGGTACGTCTTTAAGTGTATGCTTATAGTTTCATTTACATTAGTTTTTTGTACCATTTCAATATGGCCCTTGTTACTACTGCTACAGGCAAAATGATTCATATTGAGAAAAACTAGTTCTTTAAACATTTGTCACTAATTTGTAAGGAAAAACTTAACTCAATTTCAGAACTGTACAAATGTGCAATTTCATTATTTTTTTTTGATATTCTAAGTAAATACTTACAATGGTAAGGATCTAGTAGTTATTGGGACCTTCCATTTGTCAATTAAGTATAAAGAACTTCATTTTATGTACTTAAACTATTTAAAAATTAAATCAACACAACTTAAATGTCTCACAAATCAAAATATGAACGTCTGTTATTGGACAGTTTCCCGATGTTTTGAGGCACTTTTAAAGTGTTAAGTTTTTACTTATTAAGAATCTGAAATGGGGAAAGCTTTAATGTTGATTACCTACTTTAGAGTTTTATTGATTTTAATGTGTAAATATATGATACTGCAATGATTGTATTGCTGTTAATTTTCAGATGTAGTTTGTTTCACAAAATTTTTAATGTATCTTCAGCTAGATTATTTGTTAAACGTAATAATTTATTTATATATGTATTAAACATTTTTATTCTATCATTCTTTAACAAGTAGATTAAGAACCTATAGATTAAGCAATAGGCTGAACACAGTCAAACAAGATTCGCCTATTGAAACTCAAATTTCTAACTTTTTAATGAATATTTAAAGGAAACATGTATCTATAGTCAAAATATTTGTGATTTTTGCATTAGTTATTTACTGGATGAAGTTAGAATGAAAGATATTTCCTACTGTTTAGAGTAGAGAGATTATCTCTTTTATTTTTAATTCAGTAATTCCTCATTTTATTCACTATTTTTCAAATAGTAATTCCTATGATCACCATAACAAATGTTCGGTCAAACAGTGTGAAAATCACAATAGTAGGTTATTTTAAATATCTAAGCATGAGTGTTTTAAATAATTTTGTAAAATTAATAACCATAATTGTAATTTATATCCTTTTAATGAAAATTGGGATACACACAGTACCAAAAATACTCCATTATTACAGCAATTTCGGCCTTATTATACCAAAAGGCTTTAGTTCACTGCTTCCAATTTGACATCTATAACATCCTATTTGATAAAGAAGCAATTACACAATCAATCATATAATATTTTGGCTAAGTTCACATATTTATTGTCACCTACTATATATTGGCTGTGTAACTAGTTTTTAGGTTATAACATTAAACTTAGAGTTTTAACTATCAATGTTTATTCTTAAAATGTACCTCGTTTTAAAGGTTCAGTTTTGTTTGTTACTTTAATGTATATATGAATAGTTTATGTATTTTACTGAATAAATGCTGTAAAGCTAAAATATTTTTGTCTCACCCTATTTGACCTAATTTATCCTTTTCAGAAACCATCAGAGGCAAATGATTTTATAGTTGAGGTTAAAGAATCCCTGATGAGGAAAAACAAATTATTCATAAGAATTTGTACATTAAAAAAACTTAAAATCCTTCTTGAATCTATATATATGGTAGAAAACTACTGTTCTAAAAATAGTGATTTTTCCCTAATTAAAAACCATAATATGACAAAAATTCCTGGGCTCAAATATCAACACTGTAAGGGGACTAACATTAAATCCTCTGAACAGGCCTACTTATACCTTACAATTTTCTCTGCCTTTGATAGACTTACAGATGCGCTTTGTTTCAAATCTCAAATAGAATACAGTACTTCAGTAGACTCAGATTTTTGCTGCGAAAAAATACTCACACAAACATATCTTCTGTAAGCGCTTTGAAATTTTACACAGAATAAACCATGAGGTGATCTGCTGTGTATATTCAAGGGTTTTATTCGTTTTTAGTTGTTTGTTGGCAGTTCGTGTGCTCATGAGCACCTATCTAATAAAACTAGGTTGGTTTAAATAACTTTGAAAATTACCTAACAGACGTTAACAGGATTTAACGACTTAATTTTCCTAATATTGTAAATTGAGATGGGCCAATATATATTGCTACAGAGCATTACACCAAACCCCACTAGGTGAATAAGCACCATAAATTGTCTGAGTGAGTGGTCAATATAGCCTAGTCAGCTTCAAACCTAAAGGTTGCTAGTTTTATTAAGGGAAGTATCGAATCCGGACGTAGTTACCATCTATCTCCGTAGGCTGTCGTTTAATGATGTTTTCTAACAAAAGTTTAACCATATGGTAACAATAACAATGTGCAGGTTTATACTCTTTCTTTGTAAAAACTCATGAATTTGGTGATTTAGAAAATACACTCACCAAAAACCTACTGTTAATTATTTTTAGCATTTTTTTTATAAAGAGATTTTTGCTCAAGTCAAAAATAAGTCAGCTTAGTAGTTACTATGAGTGCAAGCTAATCTAATTCGTAATTTGAAACCTAAGCTGTGGCCATCTGGTTTAACACAAACAAAAATAAACTTTGGCCAGAAAAAATAAGCTCATTGCAGTTTTGAGGTTATCTGTTAAATCATTTGAATGTGTGCTGTTGATGTCCAAATTCTTGGTTACACAGATTGGGTCTGGTCCTGGATGGTTCAAGCACTACTTGTATACCACTATAGTTATCAAATTAATATCGTCTATTAAATTGTCACTTTTTGAATCCATGCTAGTTTTGGAAAATGACTTTGTTTTGTCAGAAAATTCTTAACTAAAACAACATGTTCTGTAAGCCCAACTAGCCCATTTTTAAATGCATTTGAAAAATAGGTCTCTAAATATTATAGTTTATCTCTGCCAAGAAGATTTTTAGACAAAGATGAGTAAAGAATGAGTAAAAGTTAAGATAGCTTTGTCCCTTTCTTAGATCAGCTGGTCCATTAGTTTATTTAAAAATGAAACGATCAAGCAAATCTCTGTTCTGTTTCAAACCATATAAAAGTTTCTGACTATTTTCAGGATTGAATAAGCACCTTCTGATGCTAGAGCACTATACCCACAAATGACTAGTTATTGAATTGAAAATACCTTTATTCACATTGTATACAACAGTACACATGAAATGGTGTGAATAGTGTTTGAATCTTATTACAACCAAACAATTGCAGTTGAGTTAATGTATAAGCTGTTCATAGGAAATAAAAATGTATGTAATTACAGCTCATTTAAGTTATATAACAGAGTATTTTTCATATTTTAAGGTTTTCTTAAACATCTCCAAGCTGTCTACATCTCTCAATTCCACAGGAAGAATAGACAAATTTTTGCACCTGCTTAAGATGAATTTTTGTTAAAAATGTTTACCCTTTCGATAATTTATATCTCTGTTGAAATATTTATGATTTTTATCAAGCCTCGAAAGTGGGAACTAAATGGTTTTTGAACAATTATTGTTTTACATTGTTCTATGGAAATGTAAAGGCTGTTGCCAGTCATTATGTTCAATTAGGAGACTATCATTAAACTGATCATCAAAATCAAAATACAACATGTTATGTGTGGATCACAATTGAAAATTACATGACATTAGAGGAACTCAAATAGGTACTAAAAAATATTTGTCAATAGGGGTCTTACACGCAAGTAGTGAGAGGTACATGAAATAAAACAATATTTAGGCAGAAATCATACAATATTTATTCAATTTTAAATATAAAAACGTGTTTTTTAGAGACTCATGACGACCTCTTAGGAGCGATTTTACGTCTAGCTTAACCGCATCATCAACTGTACCGGCTCACCCTTGCTTTCCTTGATAGGTTCCACGCACGTGGATGGGAAAATGCAAGGTTAAAAGAGGCCGCAAAAAAATTAGGCCTAATATATTAAACATTTTACTTTTTTCATAGATTTGATATGAAATGGTGTAATCTTTTCAATTCTAAGAACTGAATTTGACCTGATCCTCCCAGAATTATCTAATTAATTAAGTTTCTAAACAAATCATCACTGCCTTGATTAATATTACAACTATCCTAATCTTATCAAAAAAAAAACCATCACCTTTATTTAGTAAAAAACCATGCATTGTTAGTAAAACACAAAAAAATAAATCTATTGTTAGTAAAACACAAAAAATCAATCTTATTTTAATTGTAAAATAATTTAACTAATCTATATATTTATATATATATTTACAGGCCTAAACGACCAACTTCCTCAAACCAATTGGAGTCAGCTTCTGGTTCGTCCACCATAACATACAATCATGGCAAGACGTTTCATTCAGACTTACAGAATTGCTTATATTAGGTGTATAATTTTGGTGTTTGGCAGGTAGGACTAGTATTATAATATTATTTCACCTAAATTATTTTATTATTATACTTATACTATACTTATACCTATACTTATTACTATTACCTATTACTATTCCTATGCTTATTCTTATTTCTACTTTTTAAATATTGAATCACTAATCCTCCCTCCAATGCTTTGTATTTTTTTATTGTTGTTGGAGATATTTAATATTCTAAATTCTTGTGAAATGCAATTCCTCGGGGTAACTTGGGATCAACTTATCCCAGTTAATAACCCACTATACAACACTTAATTTATAATTTAACACAACATTTATAACTATATAACTATGGATTTATACTACTATTTATACTATGCATTTATAGGATATAACTATGGTCTTATGAGCAAATGTGTAGGCTACTTTTATTTTTTCATATTTTATCACAACACAAAGTAAAAAAAGCTGTTATGTGAAACTTTTCAATTCTAAGAACTCAACTGAAACAGCTACTTAAAACGTCAATAAGTGACGTTCGTAGGGAATGAAACCTTGCCTCATTTCTGTGTTATGAATGTTGCCACCCCCTTCTGTTACTTGGATGACCTGCATTTGATTGTACTTTCTGATTTTTTTTAGTGCGGTACACAGTTAAATGCTCTTTAAAAGAAAGTTCTTTGAATCTAAAACTTGCATACGTCACTGCTACCATTCGCAATGCCAACACAACGGAGAATGTTTGTTTAGTGGCACTTTTTTTTGTTTGTAGATTTTTTTAATGTTATTTCTAACAATGGCTTTAAACAGATAAAGTTAAATGGATTTATACTATGCATTTATAGGATATAACTATGGTCTAGGTGATCTAATGCACAAATCCAATGCTGAAGCTGTAGGTTAGACTTATAATCTCTCCGACCCAATGACTTTGCGTGGGCCCAATGGTTATGAACAAGCTCCTTGCCCATTTTGGTTTGTCATTGTCGAAACATCCGTATACACAAGTATCTGGAACACAGACACCATTTTAAGTACTATAATTTCTTATCATAAGAAAATAACTTTTTTAGACTGATGTGATTGGTTTTTCCCTTGAAGGGGTAATATGATAATAAGTTGCAAGGTTTCCTCACAAAATGTTAGCGAGTATTCTCTCATGTTTGCAGTCAGGTCTTTTCCTTACCTCCACCCACATCCCACCAACATTACATCCCTGATCATGTATAAAAATTTTTACCCACTTCTATAACAGGGTTGGTACTGATTTTGGAAAATAAAATTCCCTGACTTTTCCAGGTTTTCCAGACTGATATTATACTTTTTCCAGGTATACCGTAAGACAATATCGAATAGTCAGAATCAAGAATTATTAGAAAAAATGTAGGCCTAAATAGTTTACTCATAAAACCAATAAGAAAAGAATTAAACATCTGGATTCTGGAAAATTAAAAGTATCACACTTTATGTTCTACTTGGCCTTGACTTGACACTAGCAGATAGACGATACGGTGCTTCTGTTACTGATATATATCGATATTTTGCTTGCGATATCATCGGCTTATATCGGAAGAAACATGTGATATTGGAAAAATAACTACCATGCTTGTACCGGAGACAAAAAGTAGTACCAAACTAAACTATTAAATGTTTCAACTAACAGAATAAAACTTTTTTTATAAACTCCTACAAGTGCAGTTTTTTTAGTTTATTAAAGGTTGAATCAGTATTGGTATAAATTCAATGAGGAATTGTATTCAGTATCGTATTGAAATTGAAACGATGAATGTAGGCCTATCCTTCCGCGCATCGCGGTACTAGCCGTGTTTCCATACGTGGGATTATTATCCCGAAAACAGGATTTTTAAAGCATGAGCGGGATTTGAAGGGGATGTGGGATAAAACAGGAGTTTTGGATATGACGTCCGTTTTTATTTACTATGCTTTATTTTAGTGAAAAACTAACCCCAATCGAAAAAATTACCTTAACAAAATATAATAGCAATGTTAAAACAACTATTTAAACACAATATGTCTAATTTAACACTCAGAATTTAACATCAAAAATCTTAAGGGATTAAACGGGATTTCTTAACCCAGTGACCGGGATTATATTCTTTTGGTTGTGTAGACACACTGGGAGCTCGGTGCGTTCAATCAAAGGCGGGTCTACACGCAAGGATTTATCGTACGTTTTACCTGCGCAAGTAAATCGTTGCAGTCAAATCGTTGCGTGTGTACCACAAAACTGTGAAAAATACCAAACAGAACTGCGCGGAGACGGAAGACGGAGCGAGAAAACTATTGCTGGGAGCATAGTTTTGACAACGTTTTCAGGCAAGTCGTTGCGTGTGTACACTGTCATCCGTTTTAACTCCGTCTTCACGCTCAAAGCCCCAGTATGCAGTGTTGTCTTCACGTGCTGTCAGAGGTACAAGTGTGTTTTTTAAATTAGGATCGCAGATCTTTGCCAAAGTTCCTGTGATTTTATTGTTGAATTCATCGAACTGTACAGAAAATTTCCTGATTTATGGAGGGTCAAGAGTAAGGAACATAGTGACTGTGATAAGAAAAATACTTGAGAGTCTTTTGAAAAAAAGCAGTAGATTCGAACGTGAACAGAGAAACTATTATGAAATTGGTTGTATTTTTAGTAACGAACGTCTTGACCATAGTGAGCGCTGTCGTCGCTCAGACTTATTTCTTTGCTTTCTTGTAACACTGGTTGCAGAAATCGACCACAATAACACATCTTCCATGATATTACATGCACATACACTGAAAGTTATCACAAACCTACTGAAAGCTGGTGCTGAAACCTGTACCGTGTGGACGCATTTCTTTGCAACGACTTAACTGCAACGTTTTACCTGCGCAGGTAAAACGTATGCGAAATCCTTGCGTGTAGACCCCCCTGATAGAATGTCTGTCGATGTTCGATGTTTTTTATATCGATGGTAGGTTCCCGATGTTTTTGTTACATCGATGTTTTCGTCAAACTTCGATGTTTTTGACCAAGTATTGAGACGTAGATGCAAAATGTAGCATATCTGTAAAAAATGTAGTCTTTCAAGAGAAATTCCAGATTTTTTCCAAAATTCCCTGACTTTTCCAGACCAACAAAATTCCCTGACATTTCCAGGTTTTCCCTGACCGTACCAACCCTGATATATTAAACAAGATCTACAGGAAAACCATATGTCATAACCTAACCCCTTAAGCCAATAATTTAGTCAAAATTACCCCAACAAATTAAAACAAATTGTGAAGTGATGATGTGGTGATTAAATAGCTTGACGATGATGGCTTGATTGAGATCAAACGCCCATCTTCATGCAAAAACATGACACCGGATGAAGCAGTCATGTCCAGAAAATGCACGTTTTGGAGAAAGGAAAAGGATGGAACGATTGGTGAAATAAATAAGGACCATGATTTTTACTACTAGATGCAAGGCCAGTTGAGCATTACCAAACAACGTTATTGCCAATTTGTACTGTGGACAACTAAAAATGGAATAAAAATTGAAAAAATCAAACGAGATGATGAGTTCTGGCAAAAAACATGGTTCCTAAGTTAGAGAGATTAAATCTCAATTGTATTTTACCTGAATTAATTGATCCCCGCCATTGCAGATCAATGGAAATCCGAAATCCGTCATATATCATTAATGCCCAGGAAAAGCAAAAAGCATCTAAGAAGATAAACAAAAGCGATGGTCAAAATGGCGTCATAGCTCGTAAAATGATATAATTTATTTTTGTACATATAATTATTCATAATACACGTTTGTTTTGATTTTTTTGGAAAAGACTTTGTTTAACTACATTGTAAAAACGTAATAAATAGTTTTCTAAGGAAAAACCCTTGTATTGAATTGACCATATCCATTTCCATAAAATTATTTAGACTCAGTTACAAAAATTGAGTGTCAATGAAAACTCAGTTCGATAGAAGAACTTTTAACGTAATGTTATAAAACATATATTAAAAAAATAACAATCATGGCATTAAATCTAATTTACCGCACGCCACACAAGGAATAAAATTGGTCGTTATGCCATGAAATAAATTGCATATTTGCATGAACATACAATTTCAAATTTAATTCAGTTTCACCAAAATAAAATAGTAATAATCACTGGCTTCTTGCACTACATAAATTTTAAATTTTTACATTAAAAATTTGTGTAGCATTGCGGGCTGAATAAAAGTTTGTTTGTGTAAAAATACAGGTTCATTCGACCCGTCGGCCTCAGTATTGCACCATTTTGAAAGGTAGGCACTGTCCGTTTTTCAACACTGCTCTATCCATGGAAGTATCGATCGATAATGCTCAAGGTCAGACACTAGTTGTGCGGGTTGCGGAACGTACAATTGCAGCAGATTGACGATTTTCAACCTGACTCCTGCCGCCTCTTAATTGTGGAAACCAGGGTTAAGCCATAAACTACTGGCTAGAAGTTTGATAAAAAGCTATAGGTAACCTATCTTGAAAAGTATTATAAGCTTTATACCTTGGGGTTTTGTCCCGCCAGTATCGCCACCTCGTCCGCAGGTATTTTCTGCCGGTGGCGGCGGGAGTGGGCAACACCTGCACGATCTTCGATCTACAGACGTAAAGGAACTCGAGGAGTGAAGAACACTTGGATGGTTTGAAGTCATCTCAGCGTCTGTTGACAAACAATTCATTTGATCCAGAAAAAATATGCAAGGCCTACAACAGTAGAAAAGAGGAAGGTTATACCTTTAAGAAAGATGATTTTCCATCATTGTGATGAAGAATAGGGTTACCAACTAACATTAACGATTATTTTATTCTAGATGATAACTTTTATTCAGGACTCACGTTACCAAGAGTATGATCCAGTCTTCTGTCGACTTGTTTTGGTAACTTGGTGTTTTAAAAGTGTAACAATAGTATAGGAAGTGTTGCAAAATTTCAATAATACTTGTTTGCTTCATAAAGTAGTTCTTAGTGTCTTAATTTACTCTCTGGTAAGTCATATTAAATTTGAACCATTCTAGTACAAAACATTTTGAAAATTTTGTAGTTTAATTATTTGGGCTATGGCAATAATGCGGATATCAAAAAATTTGGGTCAAACTCGGTTAAGTTTCGACATCCGTATCCGAACCGAGCTTAAATTTTATGTCCGAAACCATCTGTTAAATTACTGACTATTCAGGTAGACTGTATATCAATCAATCATCTTTATTTGTTTTTATACATAAATACAAGAAATGTTGTCACATCTACATAGTATAACATAACCTACATATGTATATATATACCTAATATACTGTACCATCTACATAGTTCTTAGGATCACCAACCCCAGATAAACCTACACTGCTCCTAATGCAAACAAGTAACAAGTAACATACAAGTAAAGAAGTCCTAACGAGAATATAATTTTTTTTTCTATTAAGATTGTTTCAGTTTTGCCTTAAATTTGTTTGCATTGTTTTCTAATCTTAGTTCATCTGGTAGTGCTTTAAGAAATTCGTTCCCCATATAGGTGGTTTTTTTCTAATAAAATTCTAATCTGTGTTACTCTAACTTTGTTTCAAATTTCATCTGTGTGTTATAGTGGTGAGTAGATTCGATTTGTGAATTTGTGCTGGTTTTAAAATATATTATATAAAAATATATAGGCCATAAAATGTTAAAATTTTGAGATTCTCAATGATTATAGTGGAGGGTATTCTTTTACGGGTTTGTTTAGTTGAAAAAATTATAAAATTTGTTTTTCGTTTAGTCTAGAATGAGTTTATTTGTGTTCAGGAAATGATAAGAAATCATATTGGCTAATTCTACAAAAATTAAGAATTGAATTTCATTCTGATTTCCTCCTGAGACTTAGGTTTGCATCATCCGCGTATAGGCACAGATTATGTTAAAGAATATTTTGAAGTGTTTTTGAGAAACCCATCAGGTAACACAGAAACAGCAGCGACCCAAAATGGATAACTGTGGGACCCCATATGAAATCATGCATCGGTCCGATGCTGCACCTGTGACCCTATTCTCGCAGAAGATATTTATTTCTACATATTGATAGCATTCTGATAAATACTATTCAAACCATATGATATGAAACTCCTTTTACCCCAAAAACAGATAGTTTATAGTTAAGAAGTTGATGATCTACACATTCCAAAGCTTTTGTTAAATTCATAAAAACACCTATTACAGCTTTACCTCTGTCTATCGATTCTATGAAATTGACTGCTGTGCTTAGAACAGACCTCCCTGGACGAAAACCATGCTGGGGATCATCAAGAATATGATTGTTTTCCAGAAAGTCAAGCCTTTCTTTGTGCTCACTGCCAAGCGAGGACGCCCCCCCACAATTTACTCTATAATTATAAGTTTAAAATAAATAACACCAAAAGATAAAACCTTTACAACCATCACAGGAATCTATGACTTTTTCGATTTAAATTTAATTTGATGGTTCACAATGTAGCAGTTTGGTATGATGAAAAATGGTAACACATTTTTTTAGACATAGCCTATACAATAAATACATACATTGAAAACCAAAAATAACAATCAGTTCTGTCAATCTTTCAGAAGCACCAAGATCTATTAACAGAAGCAATAATGGTCAACTAAACTAAATCGACCAAAAAATATCAGACACATTTGTTTTTACAGATACTCTTTTTGGAGATAACCTCAAAAAGCTGGTGGGGAACCAAATCCGTTTAAAAAATATTGGGGAACCAAAAGATTAAAAATATTGTGCCCATCATTAACTACTAAAGGTCTTACGCTCTAAAATTGACATTTTAAAAGAAGGAGGTTTCAAGATACTCTAAGCCTCAACCACACCATTGTTTTTTGGAAAGATCTGTAATGTTTTTTCAGACAACTATTCAACCTCCAAAACAAAAAATCCAAAAATTCCTGACTTTGTTAACAATAATTCTACCAAATCACGCTCAAATGGATCGTAATAAGCCTGTGAAAGCAAGAGATGCAAGACTTGTGAAATAAACCAACCAAACACATGCCAATAGCACATATCAACCCCAATTTTAATGACTGGTAAACAACACAAATCCCTGCCTCCTCTATACAGTGTTTAAAAAAGATGAGGACATAATTTACTTAGCGGTTCCTTGGGGCAAAATAAAGAGAAAACCAAGAATAAAATTGTTTCCAAAATCACTTTGTTAACCAAATATCCGACATTTTGTATTTTTTACATAAACATTTTTATCTTTTTTATTTTTATCTTAAGTGTGTGTTTATTTTCATGTTTGTGTAAGTATGCAATGTCCAAGCGACCGACTACAACAAGATATTTCTCAAATTGGTAACTACGTGACCATGACGCAACGAGTGTCGAAACCATGGTTGTAGGATATTACATCTACTTTTGAACTGTGACGAAGGAAAGTAAAGGTAAATAAACCACTATTATTATAACACACTTCTAAATTTTTTAAACTAATGGCAGGCCTATTCAATGTCGTAAACACATAATCAACAACGTAACCTTATTCAAAAACGAGTTTACAGCTTTCAAACCATATAAATGTATGAAAATAGTTTATAAAATCAGAGTAAATGCAATTAACTTTTGAGAGAAATCACAATTAACGTTTAAAATTGTATTTGTGCCTTAGACAAAACAACGAAGGCTTGGTTTTGTACAGTATAGCTTACAGCAGACTTGGTTAGGTTTAATGCAACATTTCAACAGACTAAAAACATTTTTTGAGGTAAATTAACTATTTTACAATTAAAATACTAAATATAAAATATTTTTGTGCAAACCCAATTTTTAGAAATTTAACTTCATTAATCACCTTCTATGTTTGTTTCCAGCATTCTTGAACTAGTAGTTTGTATTCTTCCTAAAGGTCCATTTCCTATCCTGCGACTGTTACGACTCTAGCGCCGCGCGTCTAGAGCCGTACGGCTGGAGACGCTTGCCTCAATTCCTATGCCGCGACTCCTACGACTCCCACGACTAGTGACTTGTGAAATTGCACTACTGACCGTCATGGAATAAGCACAGTTGACAGCGAATATATTAATTGGAGAAAGGGAGGAAAAGGAATTATTAATGTGCATGGTAAAAAACAATGAACAACCTAATCCATTGTTCATGGTACGGTGAAAATAGTGGTTTCAGAGTATTATTATTCAGAGACATCTTCTTCAAGTATTGGGGGTGAACGTATGGGTGGTGACGAACCAGTTCCATTAACTTTGAACCATCTATGAAGGTACACACCTCAAACTTCGTATGTATAAACTATAAATTCGTTACAGCCGCGCGGCTCGAGTCGCTTCAGTCGCGCGGCTGTAGACGCTCGATAGGAAACGGTTGCATTTACTTTGCATTAAAGCAGTCATTTATTTCAGAGTCGTAACAGTCGCAGGATAGGAAATGGACCTTTACTGTCTATAATTTAGACATATCACTGATATCGTGGTCGGGCCGCGCTTAGTTAAGTTGTAGGGTGGTCTTATCTCATCAGTTTTAATTCTTGAACTCCTTTATTACTTCTAAGTACAAGAATGAAACATTGAAGGAAAAACCTCTCGCCAACATGACTCCCCTGCGTATTTATCTGTTAACGCATCACTCGTTCAGCCCGACCACAATATCAGCAACAGGTGTAAATATTTTGTATATAATAGACAGTAGTGTTAGACATGAAAATAGAATAAGAAAACTGAAGGTGCCACACAAGCCAGCAAAATGTGCATTTGGTAAATACAAATTACTACCTACCTAAAAAATGCAGACAACAAATAACAACACAGAAAATAAAGTTAACACAAAAAATATTTGTTCCAGAATCAACATCAAAAAAATTAAGTTTATTATCTTTTACCATTCCGGCTTTGATCTATCAAGACTTGATTTTGCTATGCTCATGAAAAACATGACACAATATTAAATTCAGCATTGCAATTTATTTAGCACAATTGTTTTGAGGCATTTATTTTTAACCCCTTCGCTTAAAGCGACGGCGCGATCCGCCGTCGTGCTGCCGCGAGCCATTGTGTGAAGCGACGGCGAATCGCCGTCCGCCATTAAAACCAATATTTGCCGAGTTAGTTCCCAAAAAATCCAACAGATCGCATATGCTTCTTGTTCTGCAAGCTTCAGGCTTTCATTTGGTTGTATTTTCGTCGTCCACAGCCTGCCCAATCGGCAAAAACAATCAATTGAAAATTACGATTTTACTAGCTGACGTTGGGAACGTTGTCTTGGCAGCTGTCTGCCTTGTTTGTTTATGTTTATGTTTACATCGTCATTTCACAACATTGTTTATATCATGTTGAATTCTATTTTTCGTTTGCAAATAGTTGTTTTATAAAATAAGTAAGATGAGTAACTTTTTATTTGTTGATGAGTGTGGAAGGGAATTGGACGAAAGTGAAATTGCCAAACTTATTGAATGTGACAGTGACTCAGACAGTGATTGTTATTTATTTGAAGAAAGGCTTGAGAGTGATGATGAATTAGAAATAAACAATGAACACGTAAGTGAAGCATGCAATAGTATAAGTATTGCTGACTGTGAACCTCAAGATTTAGCTGATAATGGTGTGACAGAGCATGCTAGCCCTAGGCCTGTTATAAATAGTGATTGTTTGCATGACCTGCATGTTAGGCCTAAGCCTGTAAATAATGATTGTTTGCATGACCAGCCCTCTTGTAGTTATGCCCGACCTATGTCCCCTCAAAATGTGCCTCATAGGCCTAGTCCTGTGTCCTATGAACAGCAAAGTTCTGATGATGAAAACCCTGTTGAAGTTATGGATAAAATTTACCGAGGTAGGGTAATTGCACCTGCACTATCTCCTACACCCAGTGAGGAGGCTGAGGCTGATGACCCTAGTTTTATTGAAAATATTCCTTGTCAAGTACCTGAGTATAGTAGAGGTGCAACTATTGGTAGATCAAGGGGAAGGGGAAGACAAAGAGGTAGGCCTAAAGGAAAAAATCCTAGTTTAGTGCTACCTAAGCCTACTAAACGGTCTAAGGGCCAACCTAAAACAGCTAAGAAAAAGAAAAAACAAGGTTGGAAATGAACCAACACCATAGAAGACAATAGTATTTTCAAAATACCTTTTACAGGCTGTCCTGGTGTCAGGGCAAGCTTAGCAAGAAATTTAGGTCCTTCTCCATCTGAAGTTGAAGTATTCAACGCGTTTGTCGAGGATGATTTTTGGCAACATGTTGCTACAGAAACTAACAAATACGCCGAAGAGACAATTGAGAAAAATAATGCAAGTGGTAAAGATAAACAGTTACTCTCTGAATGGTTTGAAACAACTCCTGATGAAATGGCATGTTTTTACAGTCTATGTGTTTTGATGTCACTTGTGAAGAAAAGGACCATTCAATTGTATTGGGCCCCTACTGCTACTACTGAGACTCCGTTTTTTCGAAAAGTTATGCCTTTTCGTAGGTTTTTGCTCTTATCAACAATGTTCCATATTTGTGATAGTAAAAATAAGCCTCAGAATGACAAACTGTGGAAACTGAGGTATGTCATTGATTATATGAATCAAAAGTTTTCACGGTTATATTTGGCCGATGAAAACATTGCAGTAGATGAAAGCTTGATGAAATTTCGTGGGAGGTTGGGGTATGTGCAATTCAACCCCAAGGAAAGAGCCAGGTTCGGGATCAAATTTTACAAATGTTGTGAGTCAAGCAGTGGATACTGTACAAAATTTAAAATAAACACCGGGGCTGAAGTGAAACAAGGTGAAACAGTGGAAGAAGGGGGTGGAGACACTGCAGAGGATGATAAACTTTTGGTGAGCGAGGCCATAGTCATTGAAATGGTCAAGGAATGTTCCGGTAATGGTCACACCCTCACAATAGACAACTGGTATTCCTCACCTCTCCTCTACTATAGATTGAAACATATTGGTTTCAATGTGATCGGGACGGTGAACTCTTGGAGGACAAATATGCCTGACAGTTTCAAAAGTGGAAAACTTGATGTCGGTGATTATGAAGCTGCGTTTAGCCATGACATGATGGCCCTTAGATGGCAAGACAAGAAAGAAGTGTGTCTCTTGTCTACTTTCCACAGTAAGGGAGACAAAAAAACAACTGGAAAGAGAGACAGAGTCAGCGGTGAGGTGATTACCAAGCCTGAACCCATCCTCTATTACAACAGCTCGATGGGCGGTATCGACCGAGAAGACCAACAGCTCGCTTCTTTTCCTACGATGAGGAGATATGCTAAAGGGTATAAGAAGATTTTTTTTTTTATTTTGGACATAGCTCTTTTCAACTCTTATGTTGTTTTTAAAAAAATCACCCAGAAGAAGATAGGATTTGCTGAATTCAAAAGTAAATTTACGGAGCAAGTGTTCCAGACCAGACAACTACCGGCCTACAAACGAAGAGGGCGGCCATCAACATCTGAAACCCCTCTACGGCTTCAAGCAGCTTCTTGGGGTCATTTCCCAAGACAAATCCCACCTAATGAAGTAAAACAAAACCCATCAAGACGCTGTAAAGTTTGTAGTGCACAAGGGAAGCGTAGTGACAGTCGGTGGGAGTGCGAAATGTGCCTTGTTGCTCTTCACCTACCCGAATGTTTCAAGACATATCATACTAAGTTGAACTTTGCTTGATATCTTTTTGAGTCTACAACATGTCAATCAGTATTTTAAGGCAGAAAAGTAAGATATTTTGAACTTTTATAGTAATTTTTTTTTTAAAAGGCAAAAAAAAGTTTTTTTTCAATTTTTTGTTTTTGTATTATATGGCATAAAAAAATAATAAAAATATATTTAACCAATAAAATATATGTTTTTTTAAATCTACACTCAATTCTGATTAGAAAAATAACAGTATTTGATATACAAATACAAAATTCTGAGTGCAGGTAAAAATATTGTAAATTGTGTAAAATTACACATAAATAATTCATTTTTTTGGCCCGGTTAGGTGTAAAAATAAGTTTAAGCGAAGGGGTTAATTTATATTATAAATTGATCAAATATGCCTAAAGAACTAAGTTATGTCGCTTAATATTTTTTCCTGAGTATCCAATATTCTTCAAACACAATGGATGCTACCCTGAATTTGTGTGTGAGCGGACATGAGACGTGCAGTGATCAAAAACCTTTGTGGTTATCAGCTGTTGAAAACACGATTATATGGCCTTGTGTGGAAAAAACACATATACAAACATCTTAACACTGTAATGAATACTGAAACTCTACAGATGCAAAGAGCACACCTGGTCAACAAAAATGGTGAACATTATCTGAAAATGTTTCAATTTTTTAAGTGGATAACCTGTTTACTACTTTGGCCTAAAATCTATTTAGACTTATTTCAGTTCAAAACCAACACTTATAACAGTTAATAAAAAAAACAAAGCTAAAATTATAAACAAATTGATTACTTACGGATCAAGCATGCAGCTGTTATGGCAGGCCCCCTGATTATTCCATTTTTTTCTGTGGCCATTAGGGGGCCCCCTTGGTTAAGGAGCCCCGTGGGGGGCCCTCAGCTGCAGACTTCATGGACAGCTATCCCGGGTGCGCTGACCCTAAAAAAAAGGTGTAAGATGAGACAGGAATTATGGTGAAAGATGTGATTTTGAGCTCCTCCCCTTGGCTGAATTCTTTTATCATTGTATTCTTATTCTCATCTTTTTGTATACAAGTGATATATTAAACAAGATCTACAGGAAAACCTCATGTCGTAACCTAAACCCCTTAAGCCAATAATTTAGTCAAAATTACCCCAACAAAATTAACACAAATTGTGACGTGATGATGTGGTGATTAAATGAACCTAACCTATGTGAAAAAGACTGTTTAGTATTAAAAATATGTGGCCTATATTGTATCACATTACATGCTACGTACTAGCAGAGATGTAAAAATTTCACACGCAATAAATTGAATCACTCATAAACTTATCGATCAACCCAAATTTTAATGACTGGTACACAACACAAATCCCTGCCTCCTCTAAACAGTGTTTAAAAAAGGTGAGGACATAATTTACGTAGTGGTTCCTTGGGTCAAAATAAAGAGAAAACCAACAATAAAATTGTTTCCAAATCGCTTTGTTAACCAGATATCCGCCATTTTGTAATTTTTACATAAACATTCTTATCTTTGGATTTTTTAAACTGATCTTTATGGAATTTGGCATGTATGTTAAGAAAGAAGAGACCCATGTTAGAAAAACCATTTATCTTAATTCAACTTAATATTTCAAAATGGCGGCCATCTTTAAATTTTAAACCATTACGGGAGCCGGCTGGAGAACATCAGTGTTGAGTGTTCTCCAGCCGGCTCCCGTGATGGTACTATTTAATAAATATTGCTTGTCACTGGCCTGTGTTCAGTCCTCGCGAACCTTTTGCCATAATTTTATGAGTCCAAAAACTGACTCCAAACAGAGCGCCGGCGAGCACGAGGCAAGAAGAGAGAAGCCAAACACTCGGTATAAGTTCACCGAGAACACTCTCGCACTCGCCAACGCTCGCCTTGCCTCGGCGAGAGTGTAGTGGGGGCATAAAAGTGTTATCCATAAATTAAGTCTTCATTTAGCTCTTATAAACAAATTGATTACTTACAGCTCAAGCATGCAGCTTGTATGATGGGCCCCCATATACATGTTTTTATTGCGGCCATTAGGGGCCCCCTTGGTTAAGGAGCCCCGTGGGGGGCCCTCAGCTGCAGACTTATGCGGTTATTCTGGGTGCACTTTGTGATGGCCCTAAAAAAAATAAAGTGTGAGACGAGACAGGAATTATGGTGAAACATGTGATTTTGTGCTCCTCCCCTGGATGCATTCTTTTATCTTTTATTCTTTATTTATTCTTTATTATTATTTATTTATTATTGTATTCTTAGTCTTATCTTTTATTATTTTTATACAAGTGATATATTAAACAAGATCGCCAGGAAAACCTCATGTGGTATCCAGGAGGATGCAGAGAAGGCTTTGGCTCTGGAGAATGAATGTCAGAGGAGTTCCCAAGAACAGTCACTAGTGATTAGATTCCCTGATCCTGGACTTTCTAAAGAAGAATGCTGCCAAAACCAATATAATACATTTTAGAAATTCTCAAAATAGAGAGGGTGTACTATGGCTAGCAATAGGAACCAATTATATAGAAAGCCAGAGATCTGTAAAATTATTAGGTGTGGTCTGTGATGAAAATCTTAAATGGCAAGAACACATAATGCAGTTAGGTAAGAGATTAAATTCAATATGCTTCAACATGAGTTGCCTTACCCACTGTACCAGTATGAAGACAAAATTAACTTTATACTACGCATTTGCGTATAATCAAGTTTTGTTGTAGATTCAATTTGTGTAAGTAAAACGTTTTGTTGTAACAATTTTAAGTCATGTTTGAAAATACTTATTGTTCTGCAAACTATCGCTTGCAATTGCTATCGCAAACTATTGCTTGCTTAATCGTTGAAGATATGAGAATTGACTTATACGACATAGTTTTTTGGTCTTTATATGTGTAAATAGCTGTTCTGAATTAAACTCAGTTTAAAAAATTGACTACTCGATTCCCGTGCGTTCGACTGACCAACATTTGTACATTAACTCCCTTTACTATTCAAATACTGTTTGCGTAACTGTGATGTATATGGGTTGCGTTCTGAATCACAAGGCACTGTAATTATAGATAGGGGTCAGATTATTAATTGATGAATATTGCGTAAATAAAGCAATTGTTTTAAATCCGCTTATTAAAAGTATGCTATCGTAAACGAATCAATTCAGCATTTAATTTGTTTAAATAATAGTGATATATTGTTATCAAATGCACAACAATTATTTTCAATATATGTGTTTCCAGTTGGTGTCGTTTGAGTGCACAGGCGTCAACTAAATGTTTCACCCGTATTTAATGGTAGATTGTACAAATTGTAAACACTTTTTTTTATAGTTGAAACAAAATATGGACAGGTCTAATCAGTTACATAATTATTGCAATTAATTATTTCGTTATAGTAATTTTTCCAGTTAAAGATTTAAGCTCCAATAGGACTTATCAGTCTTCGGCTTCAACTAATCAACGAAAAGTCTAGTGTGGTACCGAGAAATAAATTATGCCCCTTACCTATAAAAATAATCATATTTTGCATGATAAATGTTTAATAAAACTGGAGTAGGATCTTAAATATTCCTTTTTTAATTGCATACCTTATTCAAGTTGTTACTAGTTCTGCGATGAAATTTCTATGGTATTTAATAGAATTATATTTGTATTGTAATCAAACATGTCTGTTTAGTATATTTCATTAACAATTAAATGTAATCAACCAAACTCAGCAAGGATCAGTCCCCCGTTACTATCTTTTAGTTTAATATTCATTTATCTTTGTTTAAGGTATATCATTTTCTACTATTTAAAAACATTTATTAGAAGTCTAATTGTCTAAATGCAAATTTACTTGCTCTTATTGTCCTGCCATGTAGGTATAAAATGCAAAAATGAAAGTATTGTAGAAGAAGTTTCGTGTAAAGGTAAATTTAATGAAGAATACGCAGCCCAGTAATTTGTTGATATTGTAAAAAGTGTGATATTTCGTTATAAGTCTCTTAAAACTGTGAAGGACCCAAACAGTAAACAGAAAAGTAAGTGTTACACAGGAATTAGTACTGGAAGGTGCTGAAGACTGTACAGTATTTAGAATCATTTGTGTTCGATAACTAAAGTGAACCTCCACAAAACTACAGTAACGGTAGGCCTACAGTGGTAGACTGTGGAAGTATAGTAAAGCTGCAGTTATTTTTTCCCCACAAATAAACTTACAAATGTTACCTACAATTAATGTGGATCACTGGTTTCTAATGACTCAATTTTTTACTTTTATGCCCATAACATTTATTGTACTCCCATTGATTATGGTTGCTAACTATCGCTATATCGTCATATATCTTCATTGGCCGCATTAAAGGTAATACGATATAGATGAAATATACTTACTTTTGTGACAACTTATTTGTTATAGAACTTGCAATTAATTGCTATATAAATTACTAGCAGAGTACCCGTCCTTCGTATACGGGGTTGGCATATAAGTAAAAAAATGCTTTTTGCAGTTATATTGAACTCAAACTTGGAACTTGCAATGGGGGAGGACACATGTTGATAAAATTTGCTTCTTTAAATTTACAGTATACTATAGTATTACACATCTACCATAGCCATAATATTCCACCACTTCATCTGAACAATAGAGAAAAACAAATGATTAAAAGTTCACAAAATATCAAAAATGATTCATGAAATTAAAAACATAAACACAACTGTAAAAAATCCTACCTTGACAGTTCTCATGGCATACCACAGTTTGTTGTTGCTGCTTAGTTATAATTAGCTGTTTTCATAAATGCAAAAAAAAAATATATAGTTTTGCACCCTGTTGGTAAATCTTATAACTTTTAATGCTTTTACATAGAACCAAATTTTTAGTTGAAACAGCTGACTAAATTCTTTAATTCCCTTTCAATATGAATACTCATAAGGTTAACAGGGGAAACTACAGAGCCACTGGGGTGGAGCCCGAAAGGATTTTTGAGATAAGAATATGCCTATATGTTAATCGGGAATGTGAGCTACCATCATGCCAAATTTCAGCCGGATCCATCCAGTAGTTTATGCGTGATTGAACTTCAAACAAACAAACACACAAACTTTCACATTTATAATATTAGTAAGATTTTTGACCCAGTTATAACTAACTGTTAACAATTGTATTTGATTATTGTTGTAATGGTTGTGGTTACTGTACTAGGATACTAGTAACACTTTTATCACCTTACAAGAAGTGATACTCTCACAGGATTTTTATTCCTTCTTGTTGTTTAAACCCGTCGTTGAGTTATAAGCTCACTAATGACAGCATTAATTATGATACCAAAGTAATTAAATTAGTTTCAAAATGGGTTGTGAAAACGATTTTCATTTTTGCGCCACTATTTCTAAAGGAATTGAGATTTTTTCCTTAGGGATGTAGCATACGGTATTATAATAATGCAAAGTAAAACCCCCAGATTTAATTAATGTTCTTGGCATTTTGTTATAATGATATGATAAAATATATTTCTGCTACTGTAATTTTCCGATCTTATATACAAAGTTCAGTGCTCCATTTTGTTCAACAAATATGGTCACTGTTAAGCCATACATACGGCCAATGATCAATTGTTAAATGTGCAAATTAGTTCTGTAGTGAAATAATTACTTCACGGAGGTATTGGTAGTCTTCAAACACGTTTGTAGGCTAGAAATAATTGATTTAGAATATTTTAAAGGAAAATCTTTGAACTCTTATTTGATATTGTTGTGCAAGCAAGCAAGCATACATAAAAGCACACTTTACTCGTATATACGATGAGGATGAATGTAATAAAAGAGACAGTTGGTTTTTGTTAATATAAAAAAATTGAACAAAAGATTTGATAATCTGTTTTGGCAATCGTATGAGTACGTAAGTTTGGTAGAATTCATGAGTGTATCAAATTGTAATTAAAACCTACTACAGTTGAAAAAAAAATTACAACAGTTTTGTAGTGGATGTTGACAGCAAATACTACATTAAGCTTTTTGTACAATAGAAGTTGTTTAATGTTTTGTTTGTGCTGGGTATACTCACCAATAGATACATACCTAGCTGGATATGTATGTAGCCTAGATGGTGTTATTAGTTTTTATTACATTCAACGAAAACCAGGTGGTTTAGAGCCTAACACCTTATTAACAATATACGGAAATTTGTTAACAAGAATGCTTATAATATTAAAGCATATCAATAACCTGGTAAATTTAATCAAGGTGTAATAGTAACAATCGATAAAAAAAAACAATTTTTGGAGAGTGTTGAAGAAGTTTAGACAAGGTGCTATTGTTTTTGTGTTATTATATAGTATGTTATGAATGTTATACATAGAAGCATAACATTACATTAGATCTGCATAAAATTATACTGTTCTGGACTTATTAATTAAACTGAACCAGAACGGCCTGAATCAGCCTAGGTGTACCAAATAATGATGTCGGTAGTGCAGATCAAACAGTTGGTTCTCGCTGTGGTTTGTGCGTTATGATTTGACGAATGACGACCCCTAACAAGATTTCCTCATGTACTAAGGTGAGTAGCTACTTGTCACGTTTTGTGTACCGTAATGTTTTTATTCGCAATTGAAATTCATTTTGAGTATTAGCTGTGTTGTGGAGTGCGCTGTAGTGTTTGTTACACATTATTATTGGACAACTAGTAGTGTGTATTTAATTTAAGTTAGGTTTACATGTGCAATACAAACTTAGTGCAATCTACCGCATGAACAATGAATATTGTGTCAGAAGTAGTAGGTCTTAGACAAAACAGCACGTACTACCATGTTAATGATGGTTACTATTTTCTATACAGTGAAACGAACAGAAACACTGTATATTTCAAATGCAAAGAGAGTAGGTCGCGCTGCATGGCTAGAGCAACAATGCCGCTAACAACTGAATTGCGAACAAGTCAATCATTTATTGTTACTAAAACACACAATCACGAACCGGACAATACATTGTTGCAGGTGATCCAATTAAGGACAAGAATCCTACAACGATGTCCAGAGGAGACATTGGATCATCGAACAATATTTGACGAGGAGTGTAGGAGGTAGGCATAATGGTTGCTATTATGAACAAACTCTTCTAATATTAAGTTTTTTGATATGAAAAGTATATAAAC